TTAAATAAATTTAAAATAAAAATATTCAAATTACCCTTGTTTGGCATTTGGAAGGCGGGGCAATGAAAGACATTTCCATAATTTGATATCTAAGACTAAGAATAATGAAAATATCCCTAATTGATCTACATCACAAATAAGGAACATATTGTTCACTATTAGCAATGTGAAACAAGCAGAAGTATTTTTGTCATTAGGTCAAATTATTAAAATAAATTCCCGATCCAAATACTAGACAAGGATAATTTAGGTCATTTAATTTTTTTTAAAAAAATTGAGGAGGTATCGAACTAAAAACAATATAATACCTAGGGACAATTTGAACCGTTTAGTGATATGGTAGGGCTTCTTTAATGATATTTTCTCATTGAAAACACTCTTCATCCTCTCTCTCTTCTCTCTTAGCTCATCCCAGTCACCAATATGGTAGACTGTAGAAATACCCATGGCAATGGCAATGGCAATGGCAATGGCATATAGCATGTGCGTGCATTAAGATAAGGTGTAAGCCGTACTACCGCGCATTGAGAGGGTTTGCTGAAATGAAGAGTGGCGCTCGTACTTTAATTGTCAGGACCCATCCAATCCCCTCTCTTTCTGCATCTCCCATGTTCGGACAAATGCATTCAGATCAACTAACTAAAGTTTGCCGGTATTTCAATATATTTCGGCAACAGAAATATGCATTCGGATCCCCTCAGCCAACTACCCAAATTTCGCCAGTATTTCAACATATTTCGGCAGCCGAAATTACCAACTAAATTTTGATGGGGTTTTATATAGGAATAAAAGAAGAAGCCCGAGATTTAATTTTCTTGACAATTTCTCCTCAACCAACATTTTTTCGGAAAAGGTTTATATGCTTTTCCTACAGCATATAAATTCTATCCTCCTCATATCATCCAGCCGTCCAATTTTAATCAAGAGAGCCACTCACTGTATGATCTTATATCCAACATATCAAAGTATTTTATTTTTAGCTTTTTTTATACAAATTGTATTAATAAGAAATTTGGTACGTGTCATCTTCTCATTGGGGTGCACCTATAAAAAATATTAAAAATAAGTTTCGATAAAATATAATGATCAAAATACCCCTTGAATCTTTCCGAAGATTATTTTATCATTGAAAATATTTTTTTTTTATATTTTTCGCTAGTGGGAGTTTAATAGAGGAATTGACGTCCAAAATTTGGTGTGAAAATAGTTTATAAAAAAAAATTAAAAATAAAATAGTATAGAGACGTGGCATTGTGATTGGGGTAATCTTAACCCTCCATTCAAAATGGATGGTTGGATTTGCTATAAAAGTTTGTTTAGGAGTAAAAGTTGCCATAAAAAAACAGGAAAATATCCCCTTGCCTCCTATTTTGAACTTCCATAGCTCATAAGACACAAGAATTGAAAACATTAATTGTAAGTAAAAGGTCGCCATCTTTTCTATCTAACAACCCTTTAGACCCCTTTGATCATAAATTTACGACTCAAACAAACACTAAAAAGACATCATATCTAAACTCCATCTCTCTCTAAAACTCTCTCTCTCTCTCATATCACCATCTCTCTCCCTCAAAACTCTATTTCTCTCTCTAAAACCCAATTGGTAGTAGAAAAGGATTTACGGCATTTCGAGTATCGTATAACATGTGTTAGTTTTTACAGCAATTAAAATGCCAAAAAACATGGGTTAGTTTTTACGATATTTAAAATACGATATAACATTTTAGTTTTTGAAGGATATTTTGATAAAAAAAAAAGGGTTAAAATTGAAGAAAAAAGGTTTTGACGGTAATACGACTACCGTAAAGATAATTTTGATAAAAAAAAAAAAAAAAGAACGAAATTGAAGAAAAAGAGTGTGAGAGAAGTTTATGAAAGTGAAAAGTCTTTTTTTTCTAAATAGACGAAAATAAAATATATTTGTGATAATTTCTCTCAAATAAACTTTTTCAAAATAGACGAAAGTAAAATATATTTGTGATAATTTCCCTCAAAGCAACCTTTTCGGACGAATTTATGAAGTGCATATGTAATTCTACATTTTAAAGTTGCAACCTAATATAAACTTTTTCCCATAAAAAAAAGCATTGAATTTAGCATTATATTTCTAGTATTTTGTCACGAGAACTTTTACTCTATACAGCTGGAAAAAAGATTGTAAGTGGATTTTCCTATTTGAAAATGTCCCACATTAGGAACAGAGCACCAAACTTGAAATACGACTTACAACCAACATTCACCGGGAGACATAAGCCACACACCGGATTTGCTTAATTTTGGGAAATGAAGATCTATCAAAATTGGAACGAATTACTACCTCGTCCTTGAGATAAAGTGAGAACCAACTTTACGTTGTAGCCTACTATAAGCCATATTTGGCTCGCCGGGAAATATATTTACGTAAAAAATATTCCTCACGTGTTTAGACTTGGGAATGTTTTCACGCTAATTAGTGTGTAAAGATGCACTTGAACCTCAGGTGTAAAAATATTCCTACACTTAACACATGAAAGAATTCTTTCATATTCCAAAAAAATATTTTCAAGCAAAACAAAATGTGCCCTAAAGAAAAAATATACAATAAAACCACCTACTTACTGTACAAAGCGGTCACAATTAATCTTGATAATTGGATAACTTGGAAATATTTTCACGCTATTGGAGCGTAAAGATGCACTTGAACAACATGTGTGAAAATATTCTTACACTTAACACATGAAAGAATTCTTTTATTTTCCAAAAAATATTTTCAAGCAAAACAAATGTACCCTAAAGAAAAAGTATACAATAATACCATTTACTTATTGTACAAAGTGGTCCCAATTAATCTTGATAATTGAATATGAAATTCAAACTCCAAAAAAAAAAATTTCACCAACTTTGTTACGCACCCAAAATATCAAACTTCACATCGGAGGGTTCTAAATAATTGTGACCGCCCGGTGCAACAAGTATCCTATTCCTAAAAGCCATCAACATGAGAAGAAGAGGTTTCAAAGGTAATAGAGGTCTTGTCAAACTTTACTCCTTTGCCTTCTCTCTCTTGAATTTTGCTAAGGCTTCTCTTCGTTGAAAATATTTTGAAATTCATGTTTACGAAAGTTATAACATATAGTCTCCCTAAGGGTACAAAATAAAAATCGCCCTGGATTCGAAATATAAAAATCGCCCTGGATTCGAAATAGTTGAGATAAAAGCTCGGATTAACAAAATGGATATGGTTTCTATAGAGCCGAAGCTCTAAACAATCAAATTAGAGCCCACCTTCAAATAGTTTGGAAAAATATGGTTTCAATATTAGAAATATTCGTGATGGCCTTAAAATAAAATTTCATCTTTAATTATAAAATTTAAAGCTTAAAGAATAATATAGATTGAACAGATTTATAAAAAATTGAAATCATGTCCATATATCTTGATGTCAAGATGATCAATTTGAAGATATTTGAGCATCAAACCACATTTTCTAGTGAAAGTTCTGAGGTAAGTTTTAATTTGATTGTTTAGAGCCTGGACTCGATATAAACTTTTCCAAAATTATAACTTTTATTAGAAAAAGAGTGGTGGGTAGGAATAATCATGCATAAGGATAATTACATCTTAAAACAAATCATTGGCCAAGTTTCATTCGGAGGGCTATTCATCGAAAATATCAAGCCACCTCAGTGTAAAATAAATAAATTAAAAGGTGAGAGAAAGATGCAGGGTCTAGACCAAACACCAAATTCAAAAGAAAATCGCTTTCAAAAGGGGAGATCATCTCGAGTAATAATCTTCAAATCCCAACAACTCCTAATTAAGAAAAGTCCCTTTCTGACAATAACCTCGAATTTTAAAATCATTCAATATTCGGACCACGCCGATAAATGTTATTTTATGGGTTAACCCCCAAACACTACCCTAAACCCTAATACTCATTAACCAACTCAGGGAATTGACCCACTTCCTCACGCAAGGAGACCACTGTTAGAAATCAAAGAGAAATAAATAGTGGTCAGGAGGACAAATTGGCCTTGTACAGTGAGAAAGAGGGGTGCAACTGTCTGAGCGGCCTGACCGAGAAGGAAGCACAAAAATCTATCGTAAAATGTTGTTCGGATGTTGGAAAACAATCTAATTGACCGACATATATCAATATGAAAAGAAATAAATATTTTGAGTTCGCAAAATAGTGTATTTTTTATGGGTAAGTTGGTTGGGTGGGAGGCGGAAAAAACCCTACCCGAATTTTTCATTAATAGGAAAAAAATAACACATTATTTTACAACCACCTGAATTGAATTTCTTATTAATGGGTAAAAGTAGAACACATTATTTTTACAACCCTATAATATGGCATATACAAGCCAAAACAGAAAAAGAAAGTCACATTGAACCAGTCATTTTCAATATTACATGATTTTAACTATTTGTAGAGTTTAACATTTTATAACTAAAAATGAAAAATAGATTCTAAAACATCCAAAAAAAAAATTTATATCAAAATTATATTTATGATAAAATTTAGAGGTGCTCCTTGATTGAATTTTTCAAGGTTGCAAACCACACAGTAGAAAAACAAGGGGGTTGGTGAAGGGAAAAGAGGGAGGTGGGAACTTGGGAGGGTGGGGTGGGAAAGAAATTGACCCAAGGGGGGGCAAAGGATTTCCATACAAAGTATTATTGTGTTTGTGTCAGAGCAGTGTTAGAAAACCCACAGACGTCTGAAAACCCGGCCGGTTAGACCAGTTCCGAGTCCCTATAAAGCGGTTCCGAGTCAAGTTCGCCTAGGGTACAACCACTAGAATGTCCGGCCAGTTAGAGATCGAACCCAATGAGACACAAGAGAGATGAAATGGTAAAGGGATAAACAGTGGTACGAGAGAGGTAAATGGACAACAGATGAGAGAGAAGAAATGGGAAAAAGATGAAACAGTGGAGATAGAGAGAGGAAATGGCAAAAGATGAAATAATGGTGAGAGAGAGGAAGTGGCAATAAAAAGAAAGTGGAGAGAGAGAGGGAGGGGGATGTTGCCATTGCTTGATGAAAGAGTTTATCCGGCGACTCGCCGTAAAGAAACACAAGGCAATTGCTTGCAAAAACAGTTTTATCCAGCGACTCACTCGCCGGAAAGAAACACAAGGCCATTACTTCAGATAAGGTTTGCTTGCTCAAAAAGATATACATAAAAAAAAAAAAACAATATATTTCCAAAAAAAACGAAAGCTTACCAACAGGGGTTTCACTCTTCAGTGTCTTCCTCTCTCTCTCTCTCTTCATTCCACCGGACCCCAAACCGTCCACAATCGAGATGCCAAAAACCCCAACAAATCCGGTACCACCTTCCTCACCAAACCCTTGCTAGGAAAATCAACACCGACGACCCTACACTCTTTTCCGGGAACCTCCTCATCTTTCTCTCTCTTCCCTTCCTCTGGAATCTCCACACCCCATTTCTCTCTCTTCCCATCATCCCCCAACTCCCCACCTTCGTCTCTCTTCCCCTCATCCTGCAACTCCCCACTCTCTTTCTCTCTCTTCCCCTCATCCTGCAACTCCCCACTAAGAGTATTCTTTTCCTTGCAGTAGCTCTTCTTGCTCTTCCCCTTATTGCTTCCTTTTCCTTTCTGACCCTCTCTTCCTGCTAAATGTTCTTCGAAAGCTTCGATAACTTGGTGAATAAGCTCTCTATTCGGCGACGAATCCCATCTGATCCAGTAACTGGTGTAGCATTCAAAGCAACAGCAATCGAATGCAGGTCTATGAACATGGCTCGGCTTGAACTTGCTCTTTTCTTCATTTTTCGACGACCTCGCAATCAAATAAGCCAACACTTCTCTCTCTTCTGGTAATAAAGCAGAGCACAGAGCAAAAATGGTGGCCGGTAAAACCTTGAGAACAAGGAGAGCCTCTTTGTGTAAGGAACCGAAAGGCGTTGTAGTCGAAGGAGAGGGGTGAACCCTTCCTTTGCCTTTTCCATGGAGGTTCTTCATTCTGAGATGAAGAGGGATTAATAGGTTTCCTCCCTTTCCTTTTTGGGAATATTTCAACAGATAACAGAGGATTGATGGGTTTCTTTTTGTTTGCTCTACAGAGATGAAAGCAAGAGAAACCCCAAGATTGCGTTTGTTTAATGGGAATATCTTCAAAGGTAGACACTGATGAAGAATCCAAAGGATTGAATTCCTTTTCCTTTTTATGATTGCTTTTGCAGAATGATAACGAACCAGAGAAACTGAGAAAGCTTTGGGTTTTGTTTTCCTTTCCTTTTTTGGGTTATTTTTGCAGGGTCACATAAGTAAAGGAGAGAAATGAAAGAAGGGGTTAGCGAGAAAAGAGGGAGAGAAGTTTCAGATGGGAAAAGAGGAGTGAGAAAGAGATGTTTCCCTTCATATAAAATGGGGAAGTCATTGTGGCGGTTCGCTCCCCCATGTCAAAGCACAGGCTTTTGTAGGCAAAAGAAACAATTTTCCCACTGTTATATATGCATGGCGGTCCGCTCAAGAGGTGACCGGAAAACCGGCTGTCACGGTCATTTCAAGCGCATGTCCACACACAAGAAAATTAGTGATGCCCGGTCCGACCCAGGTGGCCGGCTCTTACAAATTTAGGGCCCGGTCTTCAAAAATTTGGGCCAGCATCACAAAACATAGTTTAGTGATTTAGAAAATGTCGGGTCGGCACAAAATCGCCCAATCACCCTGTACCGATTATGTCAATATATAGGAAACTGCTCGGGTCTAGAAGAGAACCAACTATTTGTTAAAGTAAAAACATTGATTCTCCGATCCAAATAAGTTTTTGGCCAATTTACTATTTAGCATGGTAAAATGGCAATTTGAATCACTGATTTATTGATCCAAACTGGTTTTTACGAAGCCCAATCCTAGTCACAAATCTATTTTTTAAATCATTGATATAGTCTAAGGAGGGTAGGCCTAAGCCATGACCAACCCGGCCGAACCCTCTTTGTTTAACTTTTTCCTTAGGTGACTTTATTTGTCCCTGCCCACATAAGCCCAAGGCCCAAATGGCAAGCTTCATGAGTTGTAGGCCCAGGTTATACCTGGAATGGGCCAGACCCGGCCGGTTTCTAGTCGAGAACACTAACAGTTACGTGCTGAACCGGGGGTTTCTCACTCCTCCACGGTCGAAAGTAAACTATATTCTTTGATTGGTTTTTCAAAGGGCATCGTTTCCAAAAGTTGCAACTTTAAACAATCCAATTAAGACGCACCTTCCAATTTGATTATATCATATAATTTTGATGTAAAGTATTTTTAGAATTATCTCAAAATCTATTTTTATATTTAATTATAAAATTTTAAACTTAAAAAATAATTATAATCAAGTAGATCTATAAACATATCAAAGTTTTGAAAATGGACTGTCAAGACAATATGCTGTAAGACTCACTATTTTTTAGACTCAAAATCTTTTTTTCTTTCATAATCATACATCTCGATGTTGAGATGTTCAATTAAATAATTTTTCAACATTAAAACAACCTTTTCCAATAGAATTTTCAGATACATTCATAGTTCTACATTTTATAAGATTGCAACCTTACATAAACTCTTTCCATTTTCAAATGATTTACATTTAAATTAAACTCAACGAAGAGAACACATCTTTAAGAATTAGAGTTTCTTAACTTTCTCTCTCTAGACTGGAACAGCGTTTGTTTCATGCTCTACACGTCAGTGGGGAGAAAAGAATAATAAAAAAGAAAAGAAAAAGGGAAAGTAGGGTTTCCAGTAGTAAAGGAACGGGTTTTAGGCGAAAAGTGTTGGCCAGGGTTTTACTAACAAATTTCATAAAGGTCCGTCAATTTCGCACCAAGGTATACACAATACGGCACGACATTTGCAAGGGCCCGACATTTGAAACTATCATAGTGCCCATTTGCTTCCCTAGGTAAAATTCAATCTTGTATTTTAGGGGTTTCAAAAACTTGTGGATGTAACCTCCTAATTATTTCTAAAAAATGAATGTAAAGTCTTAAAAATGGCAAATATTAATACTGTTTTTGCCCTACAACGGCTCTCGTAGAGCTGGTGCGGTTTATATTTAAAAACCGCAACAGTTGTACGAGAGTCGTGGCGGAATCCCGTGAATTTTACGTACAAAAACAACACTGGCCCTACTATGTCTGCTGCATTAACGTAACAGCACATAATAGTGCCGATGCAGCCTTTTAATTCACGCCGTTCGAAAAAATCAAACGGCGCCGAGCCTATGAGTGAAAATACTGTTCATGTTTGCCCATAGACGTTGCGTAGCCTCTTCTAATATTTTTTTTTTTGTATGTGCTTGAATGTATGGTACTCTAAGATTGAAAGGCGATCATCTAATTCTTAAAGAGTATGATGATCTAAGTGTTGAATAAAACAAAATTCAAATTCTTCATTTGAAAATAATAATAATATGGTGTTTATGAAAAATCTTTATTTCTTTATTCAACTTGTGGGAGAAAATCTCGCATATATACACATGGGTGGTTACATTATAATGCCTGTGTGATATAAAAAAAAGAAAAGAAAATACCCTAGTACAGCTACATATCAATGAAAGATCATCCCATCTAATAAACAAAGAAAATAAAATATACGAGAATATACACATTTTCACACTCCCCCTTCAATTTGTGATGGCTGCAAGCGAGCCATTAAGAATTTAGAAACGAGGCTTGAGAAACGATGAGCATTATGAGACATGGTAAAGTAGTCAGCAAGTTGTATAAAAGATAAGATGTATGGAAGAGAGATTGTCCCAACTAAATATTCATATCAAACAAAATGACAATCTACTTCAGTATGTTTGGTGTACTCATGGAACTCTGGGATCTTAGCAATATAAATCGTACTTTTGTTATCACAATATAAGGAAGTAGGAGCAAAAAGCTCCACACCCCAGTCAACTAATAACCATCAAAGCCAGACAAACTCAGTCGTTGCTTAAACCATGGTTCTATACTGAGCTTCAGCTATGGACTGAGCAATATGCTTTTCCTTCTTGCTATTCTAAGAAAGAAGGGAATCACTAAGAAAAATACAAAAACACATAATAGACTTCCTATCAAAAGTGACCCCCACAAAATCCAAATCAATCTAAGTACGAAGCTCAAGAGTGGAAGACATTGAACCACAAAAAACACGGCTGACAAGATAAACAACATAAGCAATACTAGCCAAGAGATGGTCAGATAAATCAAACTTATAAAAAGTTATATGTAAAATGTAGGATAGGGACGGAGCTCACCATATGAAGAACGGAGATTGACATTGAGCTCGTTAGGTGAGTCAACATGCTTTGTCCGGCAGCTAGATGAGCTCAAGGAATGATATATATGGCATACTTGAATTGAGAAAGCCAATATGCACGAAGAGAATAAGTAACTTCTAGACCCAAAAAATATTTTTAAGAATTTGAAATCTTTCATCTAAAAAATCTGACTAAGTTGTTGCTTAGTAAGATGAATGGTGGCCTCTTCACCACCAAAATCTGATTGTAAGGCTTTGATTTTGGTAGAAAATTAACTTTTAATGTAGGGATATAATCGAATAAAAATATAATATAGTGCATTGCGGTTATTCATAAAGAAAACCCAAGTATATATGGTGTGATCACTAATAGAAGTGACATAATACCGTGACCCTCCCGTTGATGCAAGAGAAGCATGTCCCCAAACGTTATATGCACTAGATCAATTATAGAAGCAAAAATTGAATTGCTATGGTTGGATGAAAACACATGCATTTTTAAGAGTTTGCATAATTCCCAATCTTTAACAATAGAAAAACGTTTAGAAGAAATATAATCACTAACACTACGAGAGAATAAAAAATGTAACCGAGAGTAAAATATGACTCAAATGGTAATGCCCCAAAGATCTTTTATCAAGTATTCTAGTATCGGTAGAGGTTTAAATTTGGGTTTTTAAATGAAGATGGTTCAAGAAGCAGAGGTCACCCAATCCCAATCGGACTCCCTATCTGTTGCTTTGTTACAAAGAGAGTGAAAACAACATTATAATTAAAACAAATAATTTGACTAACAGAAAGAAGATTCATAGTGATTGAGGGAATATAATAAACACAAAAAATATTCAATTTACTAGAAAGATTAGAGGATGTAGTCATTGAATCAACTTTAAAAACTTCCATAGCTGTACCATCCGCAGTGTGAATAATATCAAAAGAAGATTTACAGTCAACAAGAATAGACTCATTGACTATCATATAGAGAAAAAGACTAGAGTGCATTAACCATGAAGCTCAAATAGTTTTACTTAAAAAACTACATGGATATTTATTGGACGATCAAGATTGTGAGAGCTTCACTCAAGATTGTGAGAGCTACGAGTGAAGCTGCTTCATTGTACGAGTGATCAATGAGGAAGCAACACCAATA